TGCGACATTTTCGGCCACATCTAAGGAATGATAACAAACGGAAGATACTCAGATTGCAGAATGTGAAGAAAATGCTTGACGTCACCATTTCTAACTTGTCCATTAAAGTGCGAATCCGGAGGCAACTTCGAACTCATAATCGATAAGTACGCAATATCACAAGTGCATTCGCTCTAGTGAAAAATGTTCATTTCGAGAGTTTAATGCGCAAAATGTGCCTTATTTTTACGCCTACAGAGTCATCTGGCGAGCAGTTCAACGAACAACAGTCGATATGGCTTGGGAGTTATCCTGGTCAAACTGGTTCAGGCGCGCTGCGCGGTGTGCTGACAGGTGAGTCAATCGCCCTCGGCTGCATTCGGATTGCTAAACATTTCTTACTACTTAAAGTCGTTATAGTAGGCTTTATTTTGGCATACAATTAAATAACTATTTTTAGCGTCGATGCGCCATTGCGCAACGTAGACGCATCGTGAATGTTTAATATGATTTAGCTGACTTATGCGTCACATTGTCCCACCCCACTCCCCCCCCGGCATAGGTCAAGTGTGGCGTGCGAACCGTACGCTTTCTTCAGCACGTCAGCGACGTTGAGTCACAACGTTGTCGGCGCTCCAGACGAATGTACTGACTCCACTAAATATGACTAAGGAACGGCAGATTTCCCATATTGTTTATAGATGGTGCGCTGCAGGTCGGTAAACGCTGAACTATAAAATGTTCCTTCACGGAGCAAGAGGAACTAGAAGAAGAAAAATAATAAAAAGAAGAAGAAAAAGAAGAAGGAGGAGGAGAATAAGAAGAACAAGAAGAAGAAGAAGAAGGAGGAGAAGAAGAAGAAGAAGAAGAAGAAGAAGAAGAATCTAATTATTCGTTCCCGTCTTAGCGATCGCATCTGCCTTTTCTCAATTACTTCCTGTAACTCGCATTCTGTATTGTATTAGCAAGCGGACTGCTCGAACGTGAACTAGATGGGGACCACGCTTTACAGGCAACCTCTAGGAGGTAGGAATACCTAAACAATAAAATGATCTCAACTATCCTGATGATATCGCTTCAAACTTTGGCGAACCACAGTGTACGGTGTCAGAGGTATACGAGGTCGCTAAATCAATTGGTTTGTTCCTAAACGCTGGGAAGACCAAAATGTTGTCATGCTGTATCCCTGCTTAAGGGGAGGCATCCCTCGAGATTAATGGATGTCAGCTTAAAGAAATAGACAGTTTCAGATATATCGCAGCGAACTTACTGTTAAATGGACAGAGTAAAGATGACATTGTCTCCCGAATCGACGAAGTTCACCGAGTTTTCTCCAGACTTATAAAGCGCCTATGGAACCGACGCGATATTTCTATATCCGCGACGGTTCGCATGTACCGTGTATCTGTGTGGTTTTTCCTTCTCTATATATGTGAATGCTGGGTTATGCCCGTGGAAGTTGAAAGGAAGCTGGAGGCATTTTGCTTCTTGAGGAGTATCCTTCGAGGGAAGTTCACCGACTTCGTCTCAAAGGAGACAGTCCGCACTCGCTGCGATAACATCGCAAGGATATCTCCCAGGCCATCCGATCGAGACCACTGACGTGGTTTGGACACGTGCTTCCTCATCAACTTCACAAGCTCAGTGTTACCACCCTCAGCCCGAAACAGTTACCCAATTGGAAACGTCGAAGAAGGTCTCACCTCAAAATCTGGTTCGAATCAGTCCGTCGGGACGTGGACGAGGTTCTTGGAACTTCGGTATTCCGTCTCCGGGGCTGACGAAGATAATGGATCGAACTGTCCAGGTCTGCAGCTACAGATAGTCATGCGGGGAGAAGTACGGTCTGGGCCATCAAAGATAGGAAATGTCAGATGCCTGTCATGTTGAATCACTTGATTCCGTGGATAAGGAAGAAGTATTGTCGAACACCGGATCAATTTCTTTATTATCCGGAACTTTCGAACTCTTATAGGAATCCATCGTCAGAGATGCGAACCGGCAATAAAAAAGAGGCTAAGTAGAGTTGGTGTATACCAATCAACTGTCAGGAGTTGTTAGGTCTTAAGGGGTAAGGGACAGCGGTGAAGAAGGAGGGGAGGAGTGCGGCAATTCTAGAGTTATACGGTAAGTAACTGTCAGTGATGCCAAGACACGTCATGGCGTCAGCTACGAAAATGTGGTTATTATAGAGGATGTGGGCAAATTAACTGGGACGGACCTCTGGCCTTGACTGTACGTGATTATACAAGGCTCTGTACACCCGCGCCAGTCCGATACATCGGTTGATTGAATTTCCGCCCGTGGATCAGGCTTCCATAAATTCTCTGGTCGTCTTGTTT